GTCTCTACCAGAGACGTATACGGCGTCTCTACGTCACTCCTCCTCAGCCGAAGTTCATTTGATGAACAGAAGTTACCATATGTTTTCATGTTGTAAAATAAACACAATAAGGAAAACAACTGATGATTGTACGAATTAGTAACAAGGTGATCACATGAAAATCTATAAGATCTTACCTTGTGTCGGCACTTCAAAACAACACCATAGGCACCTTAAAAAAGAAGGAAACGGTACGTTAAAGTGAGATTCACCACAGCCAATATCTTCATGAATATTCAAAGTGTTTCAAACTCTTATTTTTTCTTTCAATCAGACCCACATGAGACGAAAATAAATTCAGTTTTAAAATGTTGATTTGTGATCCAGCATGAATGACCAAACCCTAGCTCGATGTATTTATTAGTTGGCTAACAATGCTAACAATTCTAACAATGCTAAGAATTCTAACAATGCTAASAATTCTAACAATGCTAACAATTCTAACAATGCTAACAATTCTAACAATGCTAACAATTCTAACGATGCTAAGAATTCTAACAATGCTAAGAATTCTAACAATGCTAACAATTCTAACAATGCTAACAATTCTAACAATGCTAACAATTCTAACGATGCTAACAATTCTCGAGCAGACTGAACATTTTTATTTATTGCTACAAAGTGCTTTAAAACCCTCTGAACCCCAGAGCAGTTTCAGGCTCTCTCTGTGGTCTTGATGTTCTCTGTAGTATGAAGTTCTGCTCCTCGATGGAACCAGAACCATCATGGCTAGAAGTAGAGAGAACTAGAACATGTCTTTAGTGAGAATAACACGGTTAGAATAACAAATCATTAAAAAGAAAAAACGCGAGTTGAATTTATTGGATAATGTATTTTACAAAAGTTGGCAAAGAATGGAATCTATAAATCCAACATGTTGTGTGTCCACAAGTGTTACCAATGTTGGAGAATAAAATGTAGACTCTACGTGTTATAAATATGAAAATATTCACGTTTCCAGCCTCTGCTCTCTCCTCTCCTCTCCCCACTCTCCTCTCCTCCTCTCCCCTCCTCTCCACTCTCCTCTCCCCCTCTCCTCTCTCCTCTCTTCTCCCCTCTCTCTCCTCTCCTCTCCTCTCCCCTCCCCTCTTCTCTCCTCTCTCTCCTCTCCCCTCCTCTCTCCTCTCCTCTCCCCTCTCTCTCCTCTCCTCTCTCTCCTCTCTTCTCTCCTCTCCTCTCCCCTCCCCTCTTCTCTCCTCTCTCTCCTCTCCCCTCCCCTCTTCTCTCCTCTCTCTCCTCTCCCCTCTCTCTCCTCTCTCCTCTCTCCTCTCCTCTCTCTGTGTTCACTTCCTGTAGTTCAGTCAGAGTGTCTCCTCCTTGTAGTCACATGACTGTTGGTCTCAGATGAATCAATCATGACGTCATAGTTTCACACTTTAATGTTTTTACACAATCTGGTTAAAGTGAACGCTTTATTAGAGGAGAGATTTATAATGACAACATGTAGAATAAAATGTTTTTGATGAAATATCATGATTTTTGTTTTTGGTTGATTTTTCTGACAGAGGCGTTCGTCACTGATGATGTGTTCAACAACCGTCGGAAAGACGAAAATCAGACGATTATGACAGTTTTTACAGCTTCTGGCTGAGATAAACGGTGTAGTTTTTGGCGATTGTTTAATTAAAGAAAACATGCTTTTCCATCCCGCCAGCGGGTTTTGGGGTTCAGAGGGTTATATCTGCTTTTTCTTAATGCTTCTCACATGTTGACATGAATTATGGAAAAACATCCCCCGCTTTAAAAAAAAGAAAAAGAACAGGAGGCTCAGAAAGTAGGACACAAGTGTTGGCAAGCTACTCGACACACACACACACACACACACACACACACACACACACACACACACA